CGTGTACCACCATGCCCGGCGCTTTTGCTCTTTGTCCTGTCTAGAGATGCCTGACTTCAGGCCAGAAAGCTTCTGCGACTATATAGGGTTGAAAAGACTCCTAGGGCATTGTCACCTTAGGGGATCACATGGCACTGTCACCCAGGAGACCTTCAAGAGAATGTCTTAGAGTTGGCCACCTCTGTTGTAGCCTTTAGAATTAGGCTCTGAATTGTTGACTGATGGAATGTGGGTAGCAAAGAGATAGTCTTTAGAAAGATGCTGGCAACATGCCACTTTTGGGAACTAATGTGAAGTAAGAAAGAACAACTATCCTTCTAGGTGGCAAGTATTGCTAAGTGTTTGATGTTTATTAACTCCCTTAGTGGTCCTAATAAACCTGTGAGGTAGTTTAGTTTCATCCCATTTTATAATGACAAAATATGGTACAAAGAGGTAAGGCCAATTCTCTTAAGTGGTTAATAAATGACAGACCCAGGTCTGACTCCAAAACTCATGTTGGATTACAGACAGAGGAGTGAAGATGGAAGGGTGGATCTGGGAGAGAAAGATGACTGTGGAAAAATAATTCAGGAAAGAGAAAAGACTTTATCTTTGGGTCTGACCTCTTGTCTCTTTTTGTTCAATGTAAGTCAATCTTTATTAAAAACTGTTTAGCGGGGTGTGGTGGTGCACGATTTTAGTACCAGCACTCGGGAGGCAGAGGCAGGCGGATCTCTGTAAGTTCAGGGCCAGCCTGGTTTACATAGTGAGTTCTAGTCCAGCTGGGGCTACAGGGAGACCCTGTCTCAAAAATACGGAAAAAAAAAAAAAAAAGGGGTGGACATGCTGCTCAGTGGTTAAGTACTTGCCTAGCATACACAAAGCTCTGGGCTCCATCCCCAGTACTACATTAACCAGACATGGTGGCTATTTGCCCAGCTAGAAACCTTAGCAACTGGGAGGTAGAGGCCAAGAGGATCCTAATTGGCAACATTATAAATTTGAGGCTAGACAGGAGATCCTTTCTCAAAAATCAAAACCAAGGGGTTAGAGAGATGGCTCGGTGTTTAAGAGTACTCTGCTTGCAGAGGACCTGGGTTTTGTTCCTATGACCCACATGGTAGTTTACAATTGTCTGTAACTCTAGTTCCAAGGGACCCAACATCCTTTTTTGGCCTCCTCAGGCACTAGGTACATGTTTTAAATACAAAATGGTATGGTACAGTATCTATATATAACCTATGCATATACTGTAGTATATTTTGTGTTTATTTCTATTTATTTATTTATTTATTTATTTATTTATTTATTTATTTATTTATTTATTTATTTATTTGTCTGTCTGTCTTTTGAGACAGGGTCTCCCTGTAGTCCCAGCTGGGCTAGAATATACTTTGTAGACCAGGCTGGCCTTGACTCACAAAGATCCACCTGCCTCTTCCACCCAAGTGGCATTAAAGGCATGTGCTACCACACCCAGCTTTATTTTTAAATTTAAAAATTGTTTAATTTTCCCTTTATGTTTTACCTGCATGTATGTAAGTGCATCCATGTCCTACAATGCCTGTGGAGCCAGAAGAGGGCATCAGATTCCCTGGAACTGGAGTTACAGATGGTTGTTAGCTGCCAAGTGAGTGCTGGGAACCAGACTCAGGTCCTCTGCAAGAGCAGCCAGTGGTCCTAACTGCTGAGCCATCTCTCCAGCCACTGTTTTTTTTTTTTTTTTGAGACAGAGTCTTATTACTATGTACCCCATACTAGCATCCTTCTGCCTCAGCCTCCCAAGTAGCTTGAATCATGGACATATACTACCACACCACATATTTTTTTACTAAGTTGCCTTTTATTTTTCTACAGATTGTCCTTGATTTACAATGGGGTTTTGTAAACCCACTGTAAATTAAACTTATAATAAGTAAAAAAGGAATTGGAGAGATGGCTCAGCAGTTAAGAACACTGGCTGTTCTTGTAGAAGACCCAGGTTTGAATCCCAGCACCCATATAGCAGCTAACAACTGTCCATAGCTCCAGTTCCAAAGGATCTGACAGCCTCTTCTGTCCTCTGTGGGCAATGCATGACATGGGTGCACTTACCTACATGCAGGCAATACATGCATACACATAAAAAATAAAATAAATAAAATATAAAAAAAATTAAAAAAGACATTTAATCTGCCTTATCTATCAAATGTCAAAAGCTTACAGGTTGGAGGGATGGCTCAGTGGTTAAGGGTACTTGCTTGCTTTTCCAGAGGATCTGAATTCAGCTTCCTACAACCATGTCCAGTGGCTTACCACCACTTGTAACTCCAGCTTCAGGAAATCTGACAACTTTGAACTTTTTATATATTATTATTGCATATGTGTATAATGTGTGTGGGGGGGTGGTATGTGTGTGGAGATCAGAGGACAAGTTTGTGGAGTAGGTTCTTTCCTTCCATCTTTACCTGAGTTCTGGGTGTGAAACTCAGGCTGTCAGACTTGTACAGCAAGTGCTTTACCTACTAAACCAGCTCTGGCCTTGAATTTATGATCCTCCTGCCTCAGCCTCAAGTGCTGGGATAGTAGATGAATGCTACCACACTCAGCATAAACCAAATTTTAGGACATTCTCAGGTTGTCCAACCTGAGGCTCATGGGCCTCAGGATACCTATAGCTATAAGGTATACCTATAGCTATCCTCAGGATACCAGGATAGCTATAAATGTGATCTGACACAAAATCCTAAACTTACTTATGAGATTTTTTTTTTTTGGTAACTTGATTATACTGTTCCTTTTTTTTTAATTAAAAAAATTAAAAAAAAATTTTTTTAAAATTTTTATTTTATGTGTATGAGTGTATTGCCTGCATGTAAGTGCACCTGTGTCATGCAATGCCTGGGGAAGTCAGAAGAGGGCGTTGGATTCCCATGGAACTGATGTTACAGATGGTTGTGAGCAACCACCATGTGGGTGCTGGGATTCAAACCCAGGTCTTCTGCAAGAACAACCAGTGTTCTTAACTGCTGAGCCATCTCTCCAGCCCCTCTTTTTAAATTTTTAAAAATATTTTTTATTTATTATTTTATGTGTGTGAGTGTATTGCCTGCATGTAAGTGCACCTGTGTCATGCAATGCCTGGGGAAGTCAGAAGAGGGCGTTGGATTCCCCTGGAACTGATGTTACAGATGGTTGTGAGCCACCACCATGTGGGTGCTGGGAATCAAATCCCGATCCACTGCAAGAGCAGCAAATGCTCTTAACTGCTAAGCCATTTCTCTAGCCCCAGCTGTCCTGGAACTCACTATGTAGACCAGGCTGGCCTTGAACTCACAAAGATCCACCTGCCTCTGCCTCCCAAGTGCTAGGATTAAAGGCATGTGCCACCACACCTAACACCCCTTAGTTTTTAAATTGTGTGTGTGTGTGTCTGCTCCTATGTGTATATGTGCAGAAGCCAAAGAAGGATGTTGGGTGCTCTGTTCTATCACTCTCAGCCTTATTCCCTTGAGACTAGGGTCTCTGAACCTGAAGCTTGCTGTTTCAGTTAGGCTGGCCTGCCACTGAGCCTGTCTCCTCGCCTCAACACTGGGGTTATAGGCATATGGTTTATGTGTGGCTCTTCTTTTCAAATTTTATGTTTCAGTGTTTTGCCTGCATGTATGTAAGTGTACCATGTATGAAATACTTATAGAGACCAGAAGAGGGTATCAGATCCCCTGGAACTGGGGTTATAGACAGTTGTTAGATGCCATGTTGGTGCTAGGAACCAAACCCAGGTCCTCTGCAAGAGCAGCCAGTGCTCTTAACTTCTGAGCCATCTCTCCAGCCCTCATGCCTGGCTTTTATGTGGGTGCTAAGGATTCAAACTCAGGTCTTCATGCTTGTGCAGCAAGTGCTCTTACTCACTGAGCCATCTTGATAATCCAACTGTGTGGTTTCTGAGTGTGAACTTCATGGACAACAACGTTGTGTCACAATCTCAAAAAGAAACGGGTGTGGTGGCGCAGGCCTTTGATCTCAGCACTTGAGAGGCAGAAGCAGGCAGATCTCAGAGTTCAAGGCCAGCTGGGGCTACAAGGAGAACCTGTCTCAAAAAGACAAAAAAGGCTGGGCGTGGTGGTGCACGTCTTTAGTCCCAGCACTTGGGAAGCAGAGGCAGGTGGATTTTTGTGAGTTCGAGGCCAGCCTGGTCTACATAGTAAGTTCCAGGACAGCTGGGGCTATAAGGAGACCCTGTCTCAAAAAAGATAAAAAAAAAAAAAAAAAAAAAAAAGGAAAAGAAAAAGGTGGGCCATGCCTCAGAGTCTAAATTGTTTCCATTGAAATGGTTCAGTGGGTAAAGGTGCTTGCCTTGCAGGACTGGTGACCTGAGATTCCTGGAATCCATATAAGGGTGGAAGCAAATAACTGATTCTACAGGGTTGTCCTCTCTCCCCCACATGCATACATACACACACACATACACACAAATAATAATAATGACAATTGTTTCTAAACTGGACATGGTAGTGCATGCGGTAATCCGAGCAATCAGGAGGCTGAAGCCAGATGCTCATGAATATAGGACCAGACTGGGCTATACAGCAAGTCTGAGCCAGCCTGGGTTAAGTATGTAGAGAAAAGCTTGCCCCCAAAGCAGAATATGGCTTATATGTCCTCGCCTCTTATAATACCTCTGCCTCAGGACTGCTCTGGGATACCAAGACAGGGGAAAGAGACACTTTGGCACTGGTGGAGTGTTACTCTAGTATTGCAAATGGCTCCCTACTGTGGTCATCCTCTTTAAGCAGGATCCCACAGCAAGAGAAGGCCATTTTCTCCCAGGAGTGTACTGTTCTAAGCATGGGGAAGGTACTAGAAATGCTTCAAGAGTCTATGTCATTTTGGAGGTAAGACTAGGGCCTCAAAGCACCTAGGTGCTGAGCTTCTTTCTTTCTGTTCCAAAGGTGAGAATTTTTGGGGCTGGATGGGTCCCCTCCAAAGCTCATAGGGTTACCAGGAGCCTTGCCAGGTGGGCACAAAAGAAGACATACCCTTCTTCCACGGTAACTGAGTTCATGAGAAGACAATCGGTAACAGTTACTCTATCTCTTATAAAACAGGATGAACCAATGATTGAGCGCTTAACAGATGATTTCTCTCCAACTTGTGTATCTTGCCCAATGAGGCTGTCAACTCCAACCTGCAAAAGGCAAACAGAAAACCATGTCCATCAATCTCAACTGACTATAAATCACTCCACGTCCTTTTAGCAAGAGGATACATCATCAGTATTTCTCATGGTCCTAAAGGTCAAACAATCCTGAAATCAGCTCCAACTAGCGCTGAAGCATGGGCCCTCCTCTGCCAAGAAAATTAAATCAACAAAACAAAAGAGACACATATGTGTACTCATGCTTAATTTCTTTTGGATTGGGAATTGAACCCAGGGCCTCACATCTGCTAGGCTAGTACTCTACTATCATTTTGTTTTAAGACAGGGCCTTGCAAAGTTGCCTAGGTTGATCTCCAACTTGTGATCCTCCCACCTTAAGTCACCCCAGTAACTGGAATTCCAAGTTTATGGATGTATATTACCAAATGCAGCCTCTATTGAGTACACTGTGCTCTACTAAGTTCAGTGCTCAAACAGGAGTAAGAAGAGAAACCTATATGGAACTGGTAAAAGAACCTAGATGGAACTGGTAAAAGAAAGGAGCTAGGGGCTCCTCTCAAGCCATGTGACCCCTGAGAAACAGATCTTCAAACGACCTTAAGAGTAAAATTAATTGGGTTATCTGGGCCAACTGTATGGTCTTAAACACTCAAAAGGAAAGCGTAACCAAAGATTATAGGGATCAATATAATTCTTTAAGTGTCCATAGCGAAAGGCTAGTGTATAGCTAGTATATGGCTAAAGGCTACATAAGAAGAAACAATGCAAGACAGGAGATACCTTCCTTTGAGTTGTTGGCCAGGGTGGCCCAAGAGAGTCCCAGATAGTAACCCAGCATAGAACTGGAATGAACAGCAGACCCCAATCTTATCTAAAGGAATATTGGCAATTGATTGCTGCTAGATGAGGAAGAGCTGATCTTCCTAAAACAAGGAACTCTAGATAGGCTGACTAGATTCAGCAGATGGACAAGCACTGGGGAACAGCTGGGGTCACCAACAACACAGTGGACAGTAACGGGCATGAGAGAGTATATGGGCTCCTGTGGGGAGTGGGGGAAGGCTATGGGAGGGTGCCATTTGGGATGTGGGTATACAGATGAGTAAGATTGTTTGGGATGTTCTGTATGAAATACACACAAAAATCAACAAATAAAAAAATGAGTTATATTTGAGGAAGAAGCATAAAAATCTGCTTCATGTTAATTAGTAGAGGTGAAAACATTAACCATTGAAATCTACCTGATGAATTTATATACATGCCCATGTGCCAAGGATCTCAGAAAGTAACCTACTGTGACTAGTAATAATCAGATATATAGAGATTAGAGACTCATGTGCAAACATCGAAGTGTAAGTAGCATTAAAATTAAAAATGAGTTTTTCTGTATTAAACAGTAAATTTTAAAATGAAATGGAGATCTTTTTTAAAGGTTAAAACCTTTTCAACTGTGAACCTAAAAATTTACAGCTGATTTTGAAAGATACATGCTTGCTCTAAAAATTGTTATTGAATATGTTAATGCTGTAATGAAATACTTCTAACCATGTGGTTATTGAGTAAATAACTTAAAAAAAAAAAGAAGAGAAACACATTGAAAGCTCCTAATCTAAGCCCAATACTACTCAGACTCTCTTTCCTTTTTTTTTTTTTTTTTTTTTTTTGAGATAGGGTCTCCCTGTAGGCCCGGCTGTCCTGGAACTCATTAAGTAGACCAGGCTGGCCTCGAACTCACAGAAATTCGCCTGCCTCTGCCTCCCAAGTGCTGGGATTAAAGGCATGCACCACCATGCCCAGCACAACCCAACACTATTGGAACTCTCTTTCTAAGGTCAGCACTTGCCCTGAAGTCCTTATCCTCTCTGAGATAGGGCTTACTATATAGGCCAGGCTAGCCTTGAGCTTGAAATTCTTCTGCTTTAGATTTCTTAATGCTGGGGTTATAGAAGTGTGCTGCCATGCTGGGCCTCAGGAAATCCTCCTCCTCTCCTTTTTCTAAATTTTTTTAAAAAATATTTTATTATTTTTATTTTCTGTGTCTGAGTGTATTGCCTGCACGTACGTGAGTGCACCCGTGTTGTACATTGCCTTGGAGGTCAGAAGAGGGCTTCGGATTCCCCTGGAACTAGAGTTAAGGACAGTTCATAGCTGCCATGTGGGTGCTGGGAATCGAACCCAGGTCCTCTGCAAGAGCAGTCAGTGCTCTTAACCGCTGAGCCATCTCTCCAGCCCCCTAAATTTTTATTTTTTACTTAAAAAAAAAATTTTTTTTATTTTATGTGTATGAGTGTACGGCCTGCATGTATGTAAGCACACCCATGTCGTGCAATGCCCACTGAGGGCAGAAGAGGCCATCGGATTCCCTGGAACTGGAGTTATGGACAGTTAGCTGCCATGTGGGTGCTGGGATTTGAACCCAGGTCTTCTACAAGAATAGCCAGTGTTCTTAACCACTGAGCCATCTCTCCAGCCCCTACTTTTTACTTTTCAGACAGGGTCTCACTACGCAACCCCAGCTGGCCTTGAGATCTGCCTACCTCTGCCTCCCAACAGTTGGGATTAAAGGTGTGCACCACCATGCTTGGCTGTCTTCTTCCTTTTTACCGCCTTTGGAGACAAGGGTTCAACATGTAACCCTAGGCTTGATTCAGATTTGCTATGTATCTCAACTGGCTTAGAATTCATGATCTTCCTGCCTTAGCCGCTCTAATGCCGGGATTATAGGCATGTACCCAAGAAGTCTTTTTTTTAAAAAAAGTATTTACTTTTCTCTCTCTGTGTGTACATGTGTGCGCCATGGCATGTGTGAGGAAGTCAGAGGATAACTTGCAGGAGTCAGTTTCTCTTTCTACCATGTGGGTTCCAGGCTTGGTGGCAAGCACCTTTACTGCTGAGTCATCTTGCCAGCCCAAGGAAGTCTTTTTTTATTTTTATTTTTTGGTCTTTTTGAGACCCTGTAGCCCCAACTGGCCTGAACTTACTGTGTAGACCAGGATGGCCTTGAACTCACAGAGATCTGCCTGCCTCTGCCTCCCCAGTGCTGGGATCAAAGGCATGTGTCACCATGCCCAGCCCAAGGAAGTCTTCTTGAGTGAGACTTTACTACTAGAACCAAGACAGTATTTCCTTGGTGCTAATGAGGTCTAGAGCTAAAGGGTTCCAATCTATATTCTCAAGGATAAGTCCCAATGCCCTCCAAAACATTTTGCCCCATCCCTGTCATCTGCTGCTTACTAGCACTTACCAGATGTTTGCTGGCAATCTGAGCTGATGGATGGATCATTGTTTCTTCTGGACAGAGAACAGACAGCAATTTGGGTACCTTGAGGAAATAAGTTTGGTGAGCAAATATGAGAAAACACCTAAAAACACTTTAGGTAGAACTCAACACCCAGTCAGGGATGTAGAACGTTGTCAGCCATAGTTCTGTCTGGATGGGGGAAAAGAGAAGGTTGTGCAGCAGCTTCTAGGTAGCTTGTCTCCTGAGCTGGGAGGTGGTGAGATAAGTCTTTGAGATAGTCCTGCAACACTTCAAAGGAAAGGAGGCCAGATGGGGCTTGGAATACCAGGAGTCCTGCTCAGAATCACTTTGGGTTCCTGCTTATCTCCTGGACTACTGTGGCCATGCAGCAGGTGAGGAGAGGAGAAATGTTAGAGAAATTCTAATATCAGGACTGGTCCAGAGAAACAAGACCATGCCCTTTGCCAGTTGAGAGAAAATGAGAAAAAGAAGTTCATATTATTCTTTCTTCAGGATGAGAAATGAAAAGCTACAGGGTGTTTTGGCCATTGGCCTTTCAGGAAGGCACAGAGAGTATATACCTACCTGACTCTCCAGCATAGACAGCACTGATCAGAGCATTGTTTGTGGTGGCCATATTAGCTGGGGGAGGTCTTGGCCACAGCACATGTAGACTGATTCCCAGCCTCAGTCATGAGAACCCCGTCTATGACTCTCTAGCCAAAGCCCCGTGGGCCTACTTGTTGCACAGGCCCTGCTGGCACTTAAGAGCATGCTTTTCCACCTCAGCCTATTTATTAACCTGCTTCTAGATACGGACTGACAGACACTAGTCCTAAGTACAAATGGGACAAGCTGCCCTTTCTCATAGTGCCTGATTTATGTTGAAGCCAGTTTAAGGTCTGAGTATGAAATTACATCCATCACCAGAGCCAAGATTTCTTTTGGGAAAGCTTGATTTTTCAGCATCTTTTTCTATCATTCTACACCTTACCCTGCACCTCCCCCAGTTATACCTTCTAGTGACAGTTCTCAGAGCTCTACCTGGAACAGTGCTAGAAGTTAATCTCTCCATGATCTCATTCCAATTACCTCTGAATGCTGCATCAATGCAGCTCCCTCAATTACCTTTCCCTATTCCCACCTCAATGTCTCACTCTGGTATTTCATTTACTAGTGTTACCACATCTCCCTCCTATGCTCCTAAGACAATAAGGAATTCCTCTACACCCTCAGTCTCTCTGTTTTAAAAATATTTTATTAATATTATTTTTAGGACTGCTTTATGTACTTATTATTCATTTATATGTTCATGTGTATGGGGGACATGTGCACGTGTGTGAGTGTATAGAGACCAGAGGACAACCTTGGGTATTGTTCTTCAGGACTGCTGTCCATCTTATTTATTTATTTATTTATTTATTTATTTATTCATTTATCTTTTTGAGACAAGGTCTCCCTGTAGCCCCAGCTGTCCTAGAACTCACTATGTAGACCAGGCTGGCCTTGAACTCACAGAGATCCACCTGCCTCTGCCTCTGCCTCTTGAGTGCTGGGATTAAAGGTGTGTGCCACCACGCCCAGCTCTTATTTTTAAATATTTATTATTTTTATTATTACATTTGATTTTGTATGAGCATATTGCCCACATGTACACCTGTGTTGTGCAATGCCCGTGGAAGTCAGAAAGAGGGCCTCAGATCCCCTGGAACTGGAGTTACAGATAGTTGCTAGCTGCCAAGTGGGTGCTGGGAATCAAACCCAGGTCCTCTACAAGAGCACCCAGTACTCTTAATCACTGAGCCATCTCTCTAGCCCCTACCCTCAGTCTCTTTACTGTTTCCTTCTCCACCCACTGCCTTCACTAAGACCTGGCTTATCTGTGAGAAGCAAGATTCTTTACTAGTGCTGTTTCCCTGACAACTTTCTCAGACATTCCTTCCTTGAGACTTTGCCATCTGCACACTCTATTCTCATTCTCTCTCTCCCCATCCTCTTCCCTTGATTTTGTTCTTTTTAAAATTTTTTTTTGGTCTTTTTGAGACAGGGTCTCCCTGTAGCTGTTCTGGAACTCACTATGTAGACCAGGCTGACCTAGAACTCACAGAAAACCACCTGCCTCTGCAGGTATTGGGACTAAAGTTGTATTCTACCACACTCGGCCCCTTTTCTCTTTTTAAAAAATCTGTTTCTTCAAAAAGAGATTATTTCTATTTATCAAGCTAAAGGAGTTTTAATATTTTTTTTCTTTAAAAAACAAATCAAGCCGAGCGTGGTGGTGCAAGCCTGTAGTCCCAGCACTTGGGAGGCAGAGGCAGGAGGATCTCTGTGAGTTCAAGGCCAGCCTGGTCTACATAGTGAGATCCAGGACAGCTGGGGCTTACAGGGAGACCCTACTTTAAAAAAAGCCAAACTGGTGGACTAGAGGGATGGTTCAGTGGTTAAGAGCACTGACTGTTCTTGTAGAGGACCCAGGTTCTGTTCCCAGAACACACATGGTAGTTCACAACTGCCTATAACTCCAGGGGATCCATGCCTTCCTCTGGTCTCTGTGGGCATAGCACATTCTGACAAAAATAAACATTTTAAGAAAATTTATTCTTTTTGTCAGTTTTTGTGGTATCATTCACCTCTGATAAATAAAATTTTTTTATACTTGAGTTAAAAAAAAAATCTGTTTCTTTACTTTGTTTTTGAGACAGGGTGTCCTGTAACGCAGGCTGGCCTTGAACTCAATATGTAGCCAAGGATGACCTTGAACTTCTAATCTTCTTGCCTTCACCTCCTGAGTGCTGGGATTATAGGTATGTGTCAGGACACCAAATACTGCAGAATGAACCCTGTGATTAGTTCATGCTAGGCAAGCAATCTGCAAACTGAGCTATATCACTAGCTGAGGAAGCTTTCTCTGTGTCTTACTTCAACAAATTAATGTTTTTTACCCCAGTGACAGGGTCTTGCTATGCTACCTAGCCTGGCTTTCAACTCAAAATCTTCCTGTTTCAGCCTCCTGAGCGCTGAGATTATAGATGTGAGCCACCATGCTTGGTCTGGAACTTGTTACATAGCCCAGCTAACTTCCAATTTGCATTCTTCCTGCCTCAGTCTCCTGAGTGCTGGGATTACAGGTATACACTGTTGTGCCTGATTGTATCTGCTTATTTATGAAGTAGGTTATCTCTCTCTCTCTCTCTATATCTATCTATCTATCTATCTATCTATCTATCTATCTATCTATCTATCTATCTATCTATCTATCTATCATCTATATATGCCCATATCGAACAGACCAGGTGAAAGATGCTGAATTTAGAGACCAGGTGCTAGCCTTCCTAGAAATCTTAGCCTTTCCTTGGAGTCATCCAGTTTTTGTCTCTATGAACAGACCTTCCACTTATGCCTTTGCTGTACCTGGGTACTACAGTGAGCTCTCCCCTGACAAAGTTACTATATATCTAACGAAGACATAAAAGAATCAGTCTGTTTCTAGGGCAGGAAATCTATGATTCTTCTAAACCCATCTTCTCACCTGTCTGTTTGCTTCCATGTAGAGTCCCAGGGTGCTTACTCGAGAGCAGAGTCCGTCTTTCATAATATGGACATAGCAGCGCACCCGTGATCTGGATAAGTCTTCCCCCTTCTTTCCTCGACAGGCATTCCAGCAGGCATCATAGGGAGCCAAAGTCAGTGTGTTGTCTTCTTTTATAAAACTGTAAATATCTTCAGAGCAAACATCCAAACCAAGTACATAAATGAGAGAAATGAGAGAGGAGAAATAGACTCAGTCAAGTTTTAAAAGTTAATACTTTTTCCTCTGGGATTCATCAATGAAGCATGTACCCTTGGAAAAAGAACACTGCAATTGAAAACACTAAATTAAATTAAAAGAGGCAATATAGTTTCCTGCATGTCTGAAATGTTATGTTTTATAAAAATATTGTAAGTGGGACTGGAGAGATGGCTCAGTGGTTAAGAACACTGACTGTTCTTGCAGACAACCCAGGTTTGAATCCCAGCACCCACATGGCAGCTAACAACTGTCTGTAACTCCAGTTCCAGGGGATACGACAGCCTCTTCTGTCCTCCATGGGCATTGCATGACACAGGTGCAGTTACCTACATGCAGGCAATACACGCATACACATTAAAAAAAAAAAAAAAGAAAATATTTTTTCCAGAGCATCTATGAGTTTAGGACTAGGATAAGGATACAGGGGTATGAGAACAAACAAGATAGATCTCCAGATCCTGTATGGAGACAGTCTGATTAGCCTTAGTAGTAATTATATATGCATTCACCTTCCACCCCTTGAGAGGTGAGGCTAAGTTAAACCAAGAGTAGGGCTGTTCACACCTGAAGAACCAGGGAACTGTGAAGATAGGCAGAATTTAAAGACCTAATGGTGGGCTGGGTGTGGTGGCACTTGCTTTTAACCCTAACACTTGGGAGGCAGAGGCAGGCAGATCTCTGTGAGATCAAGGCCAGCCTGGTCTCCATAGTGAGTTCCAGGCTAGCTATGGCCACAGGGAGATCCTGTCTCAAACAAACAAACAAACAAACAAACCCCAAAAAACCACCCCCCAGAAGACCTAATAGTTTAGTGAGGAATGAAGCCTAATAGGTTATGGACCAGAGAATGGGTCTGGAAGCCTGATTAGCATAGCCCTAGAGTATAGTAACTGACTTTGCCTGATCAAGTTCATCCAGCTCAGGGAGTGAGGTCAGCTACCCTGTTATGCCCTATAAACTAGACAAAGGTTGGCTGTCTTAAAACAGCCATCTTAGCTGGGGAAGGTGACATATATTTTTAAACCCTGCACTCCAGAGGCAAAGGCAGGTGGATTTTGTGAGTTTGAGGTCTACATAGTGAGTTCAGGCCAGTTGGGGCTACACAGTGAGGCCTTGTCTAATAAAGGGACAAAGGTACCCCTGCCCCTCTAATTGCACCAATCCAAACAATAACCTAAAGATTTCGGTTCTTTTTTCTTTAGATCCTCTTCTTTTTCTTCTTGCCTCTGTTGTGAGGAAGCTGATGAAAATTGTTTTCTTACTAGGTATGGAATCAGTTCACTCCGGATAGAAGTGATGGACCTAGAAAGAAAGAATGACCAAATATGAGAAATCTGACTGGATCTTACTGGGATCAGAATATGCATGTTCATATTTATACATGTATGCATGTATTATATTAAGATGGTACTCTGATTCTTCGTTGGCAACAATCCATGAGAAAGCAGATAATCTTTTGTGTGTATGTATGTGCAAATGTATAGTGTGTGTGCATGGATGCATGTAGAGGCCAGAGGTTGAAGACAAGTGTCTTCCTCTATCTTTTAAAAAAAAATTTTATTGCCAGGTATGGTGGTGCATGCCTTTTTCTTTAGTCCCAGCACTCCAGAGGCAGAGGCAGGCAGATCTCTGAGTTCAAGGCCAGCCTGGTCTACATAGTGAGTTCCAGGCCAGCTGGCGCCACAGGGAGACCCTGTCTCAAAAAAAACATTTATTGGGGCTAGAGAAATGGCTCAGTGGTTAAGAGCACTGACTGCTCTTGCAGAGGACCTGGGTTTGATTCTCAGCACCTACATGGCAGCTATGAACCACCCTTAACTCCACTTCCAGGGGAATCTGAAGCCTTCTTTTGACCTCCTTGGCATTGCATGACATGGGTGCACTCACATACCTGCAGGCAATACACTCATACACATAAAATTAAAATAACAAAATATTAAAAAATATTATTTTTATTTAGTATTTTTATTTATTTTATGTGTATGAGTGTATTGCCTGCATATGTGTAAATGCACTTGCGTCGTACAATGCCTGTGGATTTCAGAAGGGGGTGTAAGATCCCCTGGAACTGGAGTTATGGACAGTTGCTAGCGTCCATGTGGGTGCTGGGATTTGAACCTGGGTCTTCTGCAAGAACAGCCAGTGTTCTTAACTGCTGAACCATCTCTCCAGCCCCCTCTATCACTCTTTACCTTATTTTTTGAGACAGGGTCTCTCAGTGATTTGGCCAGTGAGCTCCAGAAATGTGCTGGTCTTTTTCTTTCTTTCTTTTTTATTTGAGACAAAGTCTCATGTAGCACAACCTAGTCTCAAACTACATAGCCTAGGCTGTCTTTGAATTCCTGATCCTTCTGCCTCTATCTCCCAAATGGGATGACCACCTAGGCTCCCTCCTCCTTCCCTCCCTCCCTCCTTTTTTTTTTAAAATTGTATTTATGTGCATGCATGTGTATCTGTGTGTGGGTTAAGTATACATGAGTGCAAGTGACAGTGGGGGCCAGAAGAGGATGTTGAATTCTGGGAGCACGAATCAAAAGAGGTTGTGAGCCATCTGATGTGCGTTCTGGTAACTGAACTCAGGTCCTCTAGAAGAGCAAGTGCTCTGAACTCATGAGCCATCTCTGTAGCCCTTCTTTCTGTTTTTTGAACCCTGGGCCTGCATACTAGACAAGCTCTTTACTACTAAGCTATAACCCTGGCCTAGATTATCTCTGAGTTTCATATATTTTTCTTGATATTATATTGTCTTTAAATAATTATTTTCTTCTTAATACTGGCTCATAAAAACTCAAGTTTACAGACTGAAAATGTAGCTCAGTTGGGAGAGGGCTTGCCTAGCATTCACAAGGCCCTGGATTTGATCCCCAGAACCACATAAAACCAGGTGTGGTTGTGCTTGCCTATAATCCCAGCACTTGGGGAAGTAGAGGCAGGAGGGTCACATGTTCAAGGTCATCCTCAGGCCTTTAACCTGCCTGAAAACAAATAAATAAACACCCCCCTCCACCCTGTGTTTTGAGATAGGGTCTAACTATGTAGCACCGGCTGACCTAGTAGTCATTATGCAGCTCAGGCTGGAACTTGCTTTAGCTTCCTGAGTGATGGAATTACAGGTATGTGTCACTATGCCCAGCTGACAAGTTATTTTTTCTTTCTTTTATTGAGACAGGGTCTTATATACCTAAGGTTAGTCTCTAACTTGCTAGCAAAGACAACCTTGAACTCCTGATCCTCTTGCCTCTACCTTATAAATGATACAATTGCAGGCATGCACTACCAGGGTTGGCTCTGTGAAATCATTTTTTTGAGACAAGGTCTTACTATGTGGCCCAAGCTGGTATAGAACTCACAATTCTCCTGCCTCAGACTGTGCATGATGGGCAAGTGTTCTACCACTGAGCTATATCCCTAGCCCCCCCTTTTAAAAAAATTTAATTTTTTATGTGTATGAATTTTTTTGTGTGCATGTATATAAATAAGTGCACACATGTGTGCAATGCTTTGTTAGTCAGAAGAGGGTGTCAAACCTCTGGAACTAGACTTATGGACGGTTATTTGCAGCCATGCAGGTGCTGGGAATTGAACCCTGGTCCTTTGCAAGAGCAGCCATTGCTCTTAACCACTGAGCCATCTCTCCAGCCCCTATCCTTAGTCCTTTTCATTTTTTAATATTTTGTTATTTTTATTTTAGGTGTATGTGTGTATTGCTTGCATGTAGGTAAGTGCACACGTGTTGTGCAATGCCCACAGAGGTCAGAAGAGGCTGTCGGATCTCCTGGAACTGGAGTTACTAACAGTTGTTAGCTGCCATGTGGGTGCTGGGATTCGAATTCGGGTCTTCTGGAAGAACAACCTGCCTCTGTCTCCCAAGTGCTGGGATTAAAGGTGTGCGCCATCATGCCTGGCCCAAGTTTTTTTTTGGGGGGGTCTTTTTGAGACAGGGTCTCCCTGTAGCCCCAGCTATCCTGAAACTTGCTATGTAGACCAGGCTGGCCTTGAACTCACAGAGATCTACCTGCCTCTGCCTCCTGAGTGCTGGGATTAAAGGCATGCGCCACGACACCTGGCTGGACTCTAGCTATATTTCTAATAAAAAAATTATTGAAATCAACTTCAAAAGGAGGCTTTCTCTTTGAAAACCCAAATTCTATGATCTACCATACAAATTCTCTCTAGAAAGCATTTAAGCCGATGTTCTCAAATCAAAATGAGGAAAAGTGGTAAGTTATCTTTCTCTGCTTTCATGACAGTTTATTCAGGGAACAGGGTTTCTTTTCAAAAATAAGAGGGAGGGCTGTTTTTTTCCCTTCTTATAGGGCATATCCCTGGTCCTTTGCTAAGAGGGCACAACTAAAGGGTAAGTGCTTAGGGGAAAGGAATCTACTCAAAGACAAACAGAATAGGAGCTGTGAAATTCACCCTTATAAAATGAAGGAGAAAGGCCTAGAATTGCAGAAAGAGGTATCATAGGTTACCATAAGGTTTTTTTGTTCTGTTTTGCTTTGTTTTTGAGACAGGGTCTCATGTAGCTCAGGCTGACCTCAAACTTATTATGTAGCTAAGAATGGTCATGAACTCCTGATCCTCTTTGTCTCCACTTGTCAAGTGCTGGGATTATAGGCATGTGCCACCATGTCTGGCTTATTTTAAGTTTTATGAAAATATTCTGCTGGTTTATCATTTGTATATCCCAAAATTATAAAGAGGGCCTTTTTGGTACAGGCAAAGTAAAACTTTGTATGTTCTAGAAATGAATGAAAAAATTTCCCATTTATTCTTATTTTTTCATTCATTTCTAAAACAAATGTGAAAACCAACTGTCATCTTTATACACGCTGGTATCTAACATTAGGAAGATTTAGGGCTAGAAGCATAACTCAGTAGTACAGCATAAGGCCCTAGGTTCTAGACCTAGCACTGTAAAAGAGAAAAGTCAAGAAAAAGTCGCTGGGTGTGGTGGCACACACATGCCTTTAATCCCATCATTCAGGAGGAAGAGGCAGGTGGATCTCTGTGAGATTAAGCCAGCCTACCCAGTGAGTTCCAGGCCACTGGTGGCTAGGGAGACCTTATCTCAACAAAAAAACCCAAACAAAACAAAACAAAAAAGAGAGAGAGAGAAAGGGGCTGGAGAGGTGGCTCAGCAGTTAAGAACACTGGCTGTTCTTGCAGAAGACCCAGATTCGAATCCCAGCACCCATGTGGCAGCTAACAACTGTCTGTAACAGTTTCTGAGGGATCAGATAGCCTCTTCTGTCCTCCACAGGCATTGCAAGACACAGGTGCACTTACCTACATGGAGGCAATACATGCATACACATAAAATAAAATATATGTCTAGGTAAGGTTTATCTGAGAACAATTGGTCTTTGCCCAAGATTTATCTACATGACACACAGTAATTAAAAGTACCAGACTGGTGGAACTAACCTTCTTGGATGTTTAACAGATGTACTTTGAGGCCTATAATAATTTGGTCAGAGGGACATAAAGGACACTTTTTGCTCCTTGCATCCTAGGTCA